AAGATAGGGAGCAAGGTCTGAATTATGAGCATTTTAACCTAAGCGTAGCAATGAAGAGCTCACTCTGAACTTGAATGTCAAGCCTTGGGCCAAGCTTTCTCCCATGGCCCCCCAGTCCCTTCTCCATAGCAGTGCTTTGTTTTGTGTCCTCCATGGTAGTTATTTACTATCAGAGATTGTTTCTTTGTATTGTTTTCATGTTTGTTGATACCCGCCTCTTTAATGTAAACTCCAACATACTGCAATTCTGTTTTCCAGTGCCTAAGAGTGGGTGGGTCTGTCACATAGTAGGAACTGTTTTTTTTTTTTGAGATTGAGTCTCGCTCTGTCTCCAGGCTGGAGTGCAGTGGCACCATCTTGGCTCACTACAACCTCTGCCTCCTGGGTTCAAGCAATTCTCCTGCCTCAGCCTCCCAAGTAGCTGGGACTACTGGTGCATGCCACCACGCCCAGCTAATTTTTGTATTTTTAGTAGAGATGGGGTTTCACCATGTTGGCCAGGATGGTCTTGATCTCTTGACCTCATGATCCACCTGCCTGGGCCTCCCAAAGGAACTCAGTTTTTTCTTTTTTTTTTAAATGAATTAAAAGAAAACAAGAGGCTGGGCACTGTGGCTCACACCTGTAATCCTAGCACTTTGGGAGGCTGAGGTGGGTGGGTCACCTGAGGTCAGGAGTTCAAGACCAGCCTGGCCATCAGGGTGAAACCCCACCTTAAAAAAAAAAAAAAAAAATATATATATATATATATATACACACATAAATATATATATAAAATTAAAAAATAAAAGAAAACAAGAATGAAAATAATGGTACCAAATACTCCCATGTGGAATTTAGAGTCTGTTGTTGGGGGACTTGCTTTCCTTATACAATGAAAAGAGACTGAACAGTGGTCTTTTAAAGGGACATCAGATCTCATGTTACCTGACTTCTTTGCCAATCCAGATCCAGATCAAGGTAAAAATCTAAGCAATTTGGGCTAACATCCAACCAAGACAGGGATGGGCCTGATTTTCAAGATAAGAATAAGAGAAAGTTGCAGAACCATCTTAGTAAAACATGTACACACAATTTAAGACAAAGAATAAGCATGATAATCAGCTTGCGATTTCTTTAACCTGTTGACTTTTCCAAGCTTATCATTCCTGTCTCCTTTAGTCTTTTTCCTAAAGTAATACAGAGTAAAGGTGTAAATAGTAATAAAATGTTTAAATTGAGTTGGATAGATTTGTGTGTGTGTATATGAGTGTGTGTGTGTGTGTGTGTGTGTGTGTGTGTGTGTGTGTGGCGTTTTCAGGTATTTGTGTTGACAATAAGGAGCAGGGGATCTCCTATGTAGGGATGGTTGTAAAAAAGAAAGGAAATTTGGCTGGGCATAGTGGCTCACATCTGTAATCCCAACACTCTGGGAGGCTGAGGTCAGAGGATTGCTTGAGCTCAGGAGTTCAAGACCAGCCTGGGCAATGCAGTGGAACCCTGTCTCTAAAAATAAATAAAAAATTATCCAGGCATAGTGGCACACATCTACAGTCCCAGCTACTTAGTTGGAAGGCTGAGGCAGGAAGATGGCTTGAGCCAAGGAGATTGAGGATGCAGTGAGTTCTGATTATGCCTGCACTCCAGCTTAGGTGACAGAGCAAGACCTTGTTTCAAAATTCCTGAGCTTAGATAGAAATATGTTTTGGGAACTACATGCTCTCTGCCATAGTGTCCTCTAGAGGAGCATCCTTTGAGAGTGAAAACAAGTGTTCTGATATTCTACAGAGGAAAAAACTGAGTTCCCATGGGTGTTCCTGGAAAAGGGTTCTGATCCAGACCCCAACAGAGGGTTCTTTGATCTCACACAAGAAAGAATTCCCAGCCAGTCTTAGGAGGATTCCAGGCCTCAGGTTCCTGCATAATTCCAGGGCAAGAAGTTGTAAAACAGGTTTTGAGCAAAATAGCAACATAGCCTAATTTGGCCCCGTGTTGTTGTCCTAACTCTTAATAATTCTCTCTCTCTTTGCTCCTCAGCACCAAAAGCCCACCCAAATGTACCATCCAGCTGCACCTTTTTCACTGACCTACTCTTCACCTCCTCTGGGTCCCATCCTCCCTCGTCTCCTCCTCCTCCCTGAGAGCTCCGCCTAAGTGAGCCTGTTTTCAAAGGCAATGACCTGCATACAGAATTACGCCATCTCTTCTACTCTCTACTCCATCAGCTCTCAAATTTCCACCCAAACTTATCTCATCTAATAGTTGTCAGGAAAGTAACTTGAGTACTGATGACTTCATGTGTTAACTACCTCAGGTCCTTTACATGGTCAAGAAGGCACTAGTTAATCTCAAAGACCGTAGACATTTGGAATTGGATTTTTTGAAGAAACATTATACCTTTTTTGTGGTGCATCTCAAAGTATGCAAAACAGACAATTCATATTAATATACTATGTTAAGTAGATGCTAGAGAAAAGATCCAGTTTTATCCTCAGTGGCTTAACGACTGTGTTGGACCCTCGATATGCTAATGAAAAGCTTATCTTGAAGAGCAATCTACAAAAGGAGTTTACCTGGTAAGTTGCTGAATTATAGAGGAGGTGCCAAAATGGCAGAGGAACAGCTTCAAAATTGATGAGTCCAAATGAGATGCTTTTGTGTATTGGAAACAGGGATAAATAAGCAGGATGTGCATTTGTTTTGTTGAGAATGTTCCTTGCTGTGTTTATAGCTTATTTGAAATGTGCTGAATTATTTAAAGTTTCTCCTTAAATGCATACAAAGATTTAGAAAGCTGAAGCTTAAAAGTATTCTACTGGTCAGAGTAGATTAACAAATGTTTCTGTATCTGAACTTAATACAATGAGTAAGATATGAGAAAATTAGTTATCAGGGTCGGAGTTACTGACCCTTCTAACTGCCCCCCCGACCCCCTCTCAGTCCTCTTCGTGGGATGAAGTAAATCAGGGAGATTCTCATTGCTTTCCTCAGTGTCTGATGGCATTTAATAAAAATGGATGGCATTCTAAGGAAATGCTTCACCATTCTGACTACATTGCCTCTTCTCTGGCCTCATCTATAAAAGAACTCGATGTCATTTCTAAGCAAAGAAATGGCTGTGCTTTTACTACATTTGTCATTATTATCTGGCAGAATAGACCTTACCTGATTCAGTGTTTTCTTTTGAACTTCATATTCTACAGTTTTGTAATGATAGTTGATAATAATTTCCATTTGCAATAAAAAATAAATGCTTAAACCAATAAAACAGCCACCATCAGTTTCTAGGGAGCAATATGCAAAAAATTACAGAAGTAGGAACATTGCAAATGCTCTCTCATTGTAGATTGATGGTGACAAGAAAATTATGGAAGCATTAAAGCATTTTTAAGGCTGAGTTTTAATCCTAAGAAACACAAATGTTAAATATAAAATTCCAGCCAATCAACAAGTGCTAGTCTCTGTAGTTTAATGGTAAACAGTTGAACAGGTGCTCAAATTAGCACAACATACTATATAAGAGACTAATAGATATTTTGTCTAGTCCGTATGACAAAAAGGCCTCCATAAACTTCTTTGCTCATTGGGTAGGCTGAGAAATGGGTCACATGAATATGACTCATTTGGTTACAATTTATCATTTAGCCTAAAGAAAACTGGTTTTTTAAAAATGCATTATTTATATGGTTGGAGATTCAAGAAATGGATGAGTACAGCGTATAGACCTAAGCAGAATCTCAACGCTTGTCTTTGGGTAAGTTGAAATTAATGATCACAATAGTGAACCACATCAGGAAACATGGTGAATTTGGGGCTGAATTTTTAGTTGTAACTTGTATCTCTCAAATTGTTACATTATTCAGCAATAAATTTCCAACACATTCAAATTTGCTCACTTGTAACTTGTATTAATTGAAAACTCATTCACTTTGGAAGGTGTTTTGAAAGACTCTTATTTATAACAGTTGCTAGTACCCCTGGAATTCAAAATGATGCCAACTGAATGCCATTTCAAATAAAACCTTCTTTTTTTCTTTTGGCAGCAGAAAAGAGCAGAGTCCCACAGTAGCTCTTGATTTATGAACAGTGCTTTCTAACTCTCAGACTCCCATCATGTGTGTAGTTCCCTTGAAGGAAATAGATTGGACACATTTAACAAGAAAACAATTCTATCTCCATATCTGCTTTTCAATTTGAAATTATATAGACCTTTGATTATGCTTCATCCCACTCTCATGCCTCCTATGACCAGTTGAGAGAGTGGACACTTAGAACCCTATAACAGGTTCTTATCTGTAAAATATTGTTCAATGGCAAATCAGTCAGATAGAAACCTCCAAGCTATGGTGGCTGTTATGGACCAAATTTGTGGAAATATCTTACATTCAACCTTCCAGTAAGCATTTTCGCAGGTCACATCCTGAAATTATACAACTGGCTTTCCCAAAACCTGGTTGAAGTACTGACAAAGGAGAGGATATAACTACACAGAACAGATCTGGAGATGAGTGGATGAAGTGGCCGATAGGCAGGTAGAGGACAGAGAGAAATCCATACTTTCTAAATCCATGCTTTAGAGGAGTTTCTGTCTTTAAGCGGAGTCCATCCTTGTAAGTGGTGCATTAAACAAAGAGTTTTTTGTAAAGTGGGCCTGATCCCTGGAGGAAAAGAAAAATGATTCTTTTTCACTAGAGAGAAGTTAACTCCTTCTGTCCTTTTGTAGCAGAGAAGGTGCTGAATACGTATTTAGTGATGAATTTCCCTGGTTGGTTCCAAGGGGTCTTTATGTCAGGAATAGTATTTATTCATATCACATTTTCCATGTAGTAGAGAGGTAGGATTCCCTAAAGTCCCTCTGTTATACTCCCTTCATCCCATCTAGCACAGGTAGAATGTGTAAAATGCATATTCTAATTGTTACTGAGCTATTAAAATTGGTTACAATACTTCTATTTTTATTTGTTTTGCATAGAAGTAACTCAAGATGATTTTCATGTTGCAGCTTTAAATTTCACTTTCAGATTTGAGCTGGGAAATCCATTGGGCTATTGAATCACAGATGCTAAAAGTGATAAGGGCTGCATGTTCTGCCTTGATCTTTTCAAGACTGAATTTGGAGGTACAAACATTGTTTTGCCTAAGGATGTCTGTGAAAGCATCAGGAAAACACCGAACAGCCAGAGAGAAGGGTTCAATTGCAACGTGCTCCCTTTAAGAGGGAAATGAGATTAGCAACTTTGGCAAATTTTCGGGTTTCTATTCAGAGGGAAAGAGAAGAGCTGCCAGTGTCCAAAAAAGAAAAAAAAAAAAAAAAAAGGATGGATGTTATGAGACAAAGGCAGAAGCAATTTTACACCTTTCTGAAAGCTTACCTGGGAGTGGTTTTAGCTCCACTGAGGTTAAGAAAGATGCTTTTTTCTTTCTTTTAAGACTAAAGGTGGAGCTAGGGGAAAATGAGTTTAATGTGAAGTAGTGCCCCTGTCAGTTCTGTTTGTCTTGGGAAATACACAAGGAAGAAAAGCCTCCGTGGAAGACAGAGGAAGCACCAGGTGCTGAAGGTAAGGGGTTACCTATTACAGTAATGAGTATGAAAGTTACATTATGATATGAAAGTAGAAACTCTTTATTGCATCCTTCTTCCAAGGAACAAGCATCTGACTTAAACAGGAAGCTTATGACTGCTAGACACATATCTGAATTGTATTTTGCCTTTTTATATCAGCAATTACTTTGTTTCCTAAATTCCCTCATGCAAGAAGAGTTTATAAAAATGAAGCATATATATATATATATATATATATATATCTCAGGTCAGCAAAGTTGGTGAGGCATCATTTGGGATAATCACAGTGTTTACCCAAGCCTTATTCATATCTAAAAATGTTATTTTCTCTAATTGCATATTTGTCTCTATAATGACTGGTTGAATTCTAAACTGAAATGAGCAATCAATATTGTGCCGCTAATGTTCAGATGAAGTCTTAGCTATTTTAGACGATATGACACTGCTCCAAATTTGGCCAATTGCTATAAAGATGGAAATTGAAAGCTAAAAAGTGTGTTTTTGTTGTTGTTCTTGTTATTTTTTAGGTTTTCACTGAAAACCCAAACCAAGAAATAGCAACACGTCTAGAATTCTTACGACTACAAAACTCGCCTGTATACTCTAAGGACACAGGAAAGAATGAGCTATTACGGTAGCAGCTATCATATCGTAAATGTGGACGCAAAATACCCAGGCTACCCACCAGAGCACATTATAGCTGAGAAGAGAAGAGCAAGAAGACGATTGCTTCACAAAGATGGCAGCTGTAATGTCTACTTCAAGCACATTTTTGGAGAATGGGGAAGCTATGTGGTCGACATTTTCACCACTCTCGTGGACACCAAGTGGCGCCATATGTTTGTGATATTTTCTTTATCTTATATTCTCTCCTGGTTGATATTTGGCTCTGTCTTTTGGCTCATAGCCCTTCAACATGGTGATCTATTAAATGATCCAGACATCACGCCTTGCGTTGACAACGTCCATTCTTTCACAGGGGCCTTTTTGTTCTCCCTTGAGACCCAAACCACCATAGGATACGGTTATCGCTGTGTTACTGAAGAATGCTCTGCGGCAGTGCTCATGGTGATCCTCCAGTCCATCTTAAGTTGCATCATAAACACCTTTATCATTGGAGCTGCCTTGGCCAAAATGGCAACTGCTCGAAAGAGAGCCCAAACCATTCGTTTCAGCTACTTTGCACTGATAGGCATGAGGGATGGGAAGCTTTGTCTCATGTGGCGCATTGGTGATTTTCGGCCAAACCACGTGGTAGAAGGAACAGTTAGAGCCCAACTTCTTCGCTACACAGAAGATAGTGAAGGGAGGATGAAGATGGCATTTAAAGACCTCAAGTTAGTCAATGACCAGATTATCCTGGTCACTCCGGTAACTATTGTCCATGAAATTGACCATGAGAGCCCTCTGTATGCCCTTGACCGCAAAGCAGTAGCCAAAGATAACTTCGAGATTTTGGTGACATTTATCTACACTGGTGATTCCACTGGAACATCTCACCAATCTAGAAGCTCCTATGTTCCCCGAGAAATTCTCTGGGGCCATAGGTTTAATGATGTCTTGGAAGTTAAGAGGAAGTATTATAAAGTGAACTGCTTACAGTTTGAAGGAAGTGTGGAAGTCTACGCCCCCTTTTGCAGTGCCAAGCAACTGGACTGGAAAGACCAGCAGCTCCACATAGAAAAAGCACCACCAGTTCGAGGATCCTGCACATCAGACACCAAGGCAAGACGAAGGTCATTTAGCGCAGTTGCCATTGTCAGCAGCTGTGAAAACCCTGAGGAAACCACCACATCTGCCACACATGAGTACAGGGAACCACCTTATCAGAAAGCTCTCCTGACTTTAAACAGAATCTCCGTAGAATCCCAAATGTAGTTCTAAATTGTGATTATGAAGGCGACCACTAGATCATTTTATCTTCCAGCCAGTCACCATAGGCAAGCCATTGTAAATGTGGCTTTTTTTTTAAATGTGTTATAGCTATGTTTTATGACGATGCTGGGTAAGTAGAGTAAGTTAAACTTGGTAAAAGATAATCTAAAAATTCCATAGCTCTCAATTATTAAAATTTTTCTGTTTAGCCAATTTTGCATTAAGAATGCTATTAAGAAGCCTAATTGATTAAAATTTATCTTTTTTATCTTATATACTTGTACCTTCAGTTGGAGGTGTAGTATTCAAAAATGGGGAATGAAGGCAGGAAGGAGGCTGGAATAAATAAAAATAAAATGACAAGTAAACCAGCATAAATAATACATGTTTAACTATGTCAGCATTGATAATGCTATGAAGATTTCCTACAAAAAGTATCATATCTAACCAAGATATGCAAAAGATGCATTCAGTAAGCTGTAATGTTGAGACACATAGCTGTGAAATCAGCTTACCAGTTCAAGTCACCAGGTTCGCCTCTTGGACTGTCTTGGTTTCAGCAAGCATAGCTAGTGGCTGCAATAAATTGTCCATGCCTCCAATTCCACTGCCACTTGCCAGTTAGTGATCAATGGGTGCTAGAAGCTATGTTTTCTCTAACCGATGAGGCAGAAGAAAAGTTGACAGTATTTAGAGCAGCATTTCTCTTTTAAATTCCCTGGTTGATTCCAACAAATGGAGAGCAGAAACAAGGCAACCATGACTTTTCCAGGTTCTCTGAGAAGGGGAATTTCTATGTTCATGTCCCACTTTCTTCCAGGACATGACCAAGGGACAAGATCATACAGATGATGTGAGGCGATGGTTAGCAGTGATAAACAGTCTCAGACCCTTGGAGAGAAACTGTTGCTAGTTTGCTGGTCCCAAAAAATTGCAACTTTGGCTACTACATAAAGGATAGAAACTTTTTGGGGGGAAGGTGGAGAGGGAGATATTTATTTGTGCCCATAAGCAGTTATGTATGCTTCCTGTCTTGGTTACCGTATGAGAAAAAAAGGACTCGAGTTGTGGATTGCAAGAAACTCTTCTATTGAACTTGGAACAACTACATGAAGGATTTTGTAAGATAGAATTTAATTAAAGTGATTTTAATGCACAATAAGTGGATAATCTGAGTACAATGAAGTTTCTTAAATTTTAGAACGTAAGTTTGTATCCTCTATTTTCATGTTAAAAGATGTTAATCATGATTACTAAGCCCACATCCACTGGCCTATGAGTAAAGAGTCACTTTAAACTTTATAAATCAAAGAGATATTACGTATATTTAGGGACATTCAGAATTATTTGTATTTTGTTTCTGTTTTACGTTGTTGCTGCACTGGCAATTAGTACGTGCCACAGTTTTAATTTGTTTATTTTATTTAAGTACACGCACCCAGACACATACACACGGTTTTTGCTTTTTTCTGGAAAATACTTCTTTTTCTCTCTCTCCATTTAAATTAAAACACACAAATAAATGAACTGAATTACATAGTTCAAGATTATAAATAAAAGTAAAATATATAGGTACAGGTATGTAGAGTGCATTTCTGTTTTGTTTTGTTTCGTTTTTCCTTCCTTTCTTCCCTCCTTCCCTCCTCCCCTCATCCTTCCCTTTTTCCTTCCTTTCCCTTTTTTTTTTTTGGCCTGGGAGTAATAAAGTTACTTTTTAAATGCACATGTGCAATCTTTCATTCCTCTTGTTTTATGGGTAAGAGATTTGTTCAGGTCAAATGTTGCAAAACTCTTCTGAAGCTTAATATTAGAAACCCAAATAATGATCGTTTTTAGTCTTGTTTGAAGAATGTAAACTGCATTTAAAAAATTACGCACACTGTAGATTTGGATTTTACAGCAGCAATTACTTGGCTAAATAAGAGTACTACAATATTATAAGTAGCAAATAGCCTCCAAGACAATAAACAAAAATGCTTTAAAACTTTTTCAGTCTGTTTTACCTACATCTAGTTTCATTTTGCCTTGCCTTGTTGACTCTGCTACCACTGACGTTTGCCTTGTCAATATCAGAATGAGGCATCAGTGCCCCGTGAAATACATTTTGTTGTGCTATGAGCCTCTATACTCAAACGCTTGTACTTGGAAGAGAATGTAAAGTCGGCATTTCTATGTAATATTTATCTCTAATTTTCTGCGTAATTTTATAATATACTTTGATACCCCCAATGAGTTACTTAATAATAAAGATCTTAAAATAATGCAGAAAGTGCATGCACATACCTATTTTCTCTGGCATAAGTTTCTTTGCTGATGTGGTCAGCATTGGGCATAGTACACCAAAAATAAGAATGCTGCTTCATATAAATAGAACATAGGCAGCATTGTAAAGCCTTTTTGTGGGTTTTTTTTTTTTTTTTTTTTTTTAACAGCTTGGAGAACAGGTGTATCTGAAGTAAAGATCAGCTGCTTCTGGCCGGGCACGGTGGCTCACGCCTGTAATCCCAGCACTTTGGCAGGCCGAGGCGGGTGGATCACGAGGTCAAGAGATCGAGACCATCCTGGTCAACATGGTGAAACCCCGTCTCTACTAAAAATACAAAAAATTAGCTGGGCATGGTGGTGCGTGCCTGTAATCCCGGCTACTCAGGAGGCTGAGGCAGGAGAATTGCCTGAACCCAGGAGGCGGAGGTCGCGGTGAGCCGAGATCGCACCATTGCACTCCAGCCTGGGTAACAAGAGCGAAACTCC